AGAGAGAGAGAGAGAGCTTGCAGGATGGCGTGGCAATGAAGGGTTGGAAGTGGGACTCCCATCTTGACAAGTTTGTCCGAACAGGGGTCGACCTTGGCATGTTTAAGAGGCAGACAAGCCAGACTTAGTTGTGGAAGAGCCTGAGCGAAAGGCCCATTAAAGCTTCTGAGATCTCAGATGAATCAGTTGCATCACTTCACACACTGTTTTCGGGTGTCAGGCCCACCACTATGAGACTCACACCAGCGAGGAGAGAATGGTGGTTGAATTGCAAAGTATTGCAGTCTTTGACTTCTTGCTTACGCTCGTGGTGTCGTTAGTGACGGTGAGCTTTTACCGCGTTTTTCACTGCTTTTGCCATTACTCGGTTGGATGGCCTCAATCGCCATCAGCACAAGAACTTGCTTCGGGGAACTTACTTCGGCTTGGATGCGGTGGGGAGCACTGCTTGGATGACGTAACTCGAATGGCTTGCCCCAATGGCTTGGATTGCGTCTTGTAGACACGTGATTGTCGCATTTTCCTGCATGTGGATTCTCCCGTTGACTGGGTGACGTTCGGTGACTGGGGAGTCGATGTCCGTTCAGATGCACCACGATGCATTCGCAATCGGTAGAGTCCGGGGGGGGGTTCAAAACCATTCAAGACCTGCGGTGCAGCGACCACTGCTCAGTCCGTTTTTGCGGAGTGCTTCACGTGTGCATGAGTGGCACTCTTGCGCGCTGCGTGACCATGACCATGTGTATTTTTTTGTCACGCATCTACTTAGTACTTGCCCACCATGTGTTTTCCACGACAACCGAAAGGACTCTCGATGTGCCAGGTAGACAAAATTCATATTGAATTCATTGCTTTTACTTGGCTGCGAGTCATGAAGTGCGAGCATGTAGTGGAGGCCGAAAGACCACGCGCATGCCAGACCCTGCTTGACAAAACCTCAAGACATACTTAGTGAAGGAGTTTCACGTTTCACAAAAAATCCTTGGCTATCCCTCTTTATATCTTTCCCTTTATATTTTAATAAGAACCTCATGATAAAATATAAAGGGTATATTGTAAGACCACCTGCTATAAAATACATGAAGAATGCAGGTGGAACGATTTCCTATATATTTTGGTTAAGAAGGACATCGTATAATAATGAAGTGTCAGCTTTGTCATGAATGTCTCATCAGCTATGTACTCTCCTGGTCCGCCTGAGCGTGAAGATAAGTGTTTTTCGGCTTTGGGCCAATTGTGCCGACGCGCTTGGACACATTGGCACACACATGAGAGACTGGCACACAAAAAGTGATGTTTAAACTTTTAAGCCTATTCACAATCCATTTTGTAAAGATGCTTGAAGCATATGGTTTCTTGACCAACCAGCTTACATAACTACATAACATCCAAAGCCCCCGGAGTCACTAATCACGCTGTGACAATGTTGTTACGAACGAAGTATTGGAGCAGAGGGGCAGCCTCGTCTGTGTTGGCGTAGCGTGAGGCGAATATGCCGGACATGTCCCACATCAGCATTCCAGCTGAAAACCCAGATGAACAGCTTGCACACGTGTCATTTATAAAGAAATGTATTCTTGACAAAGGAAGGATGTGAATGATTTGGATGAGTTTCGACATCCTGTGAGTTTCATGGCAGGCCCACTACGAGACTCACAGCATCAAGCTCAAGGGGCCACCTACTGTACAAGGGGAGGTGCCAAAAGGATGGAAGTATGACACTCACCTGGACCAGTTTGTGAAGAAGGCCGAGGCCGATCCGTCGCCACCGGCGGGTCGTGGAACCGACGAAGCCCATCGGTAACAACAAAGTAACGACAACGCGGGACGGCCTAAGGCATTGATGACCTAAAGCATGTCAATGTGTTGACTCAGGATTGTTCTGAGCTTATTAAAGGATTTTGGCAAAGCTGCATGAGCGTCTCGTCGACTGATGTGTGTCAGGCTCATGCCTCGAGTGACAAGGCTGTTGGCGCTTAGAATTTGTGCACTGCACTTCTTCGATGTGTATCACAGGGGCTAGGTCTTGATCACTCCAATTTCTTGAGCTGACTCATGACCACCAGTTTTGAAGTAAGTTCTTTTCAGTGGACTGGCTCGAGTGAACTCTTGCCATTTGTGGAGGCAAAGGGGCACAGCCACATCGTTGATGCCTTTCCTCCTCTGCCACACACCTTGCCCCACACCCACCAGCAGCACGTCCACGTGGTTCATGTCATCCACAGTGATGTGCCAGTGCCACACACAGAGTCGGATCCTTACAACAGTGCGACATTCAGTGGTGTCTTTGTTGGGGAATCTGCCAGATCCGGAGGCAGAGACGGTCGTGGGGGCAGAAAGAAAGAACCAGCCAAGGCCAGACTATGATTGCGATGCTGGCTTAAGCAAGTGGCAGGACAGAGAGCCTAAGTGAAGGTCCAACGGGCCCCGCGAAGCTGCGGGTCGTCGAAGCTGCGGGTCACGAGTCAAACCGCCAGGAGGGTTGGTCCTCGGCCAAGAAGGTGTCGGAGCGTCCGGTGATGTGTTGGGCAAGTCATTTAATTCTGCACTGAAGAGATCTTGAATTGATACGAATTGATTGAGGAAGGCCCCAAAACAGCCTTGCTTGGAGGGTTATTTCTCTTTGATGCACTGACCTTGGCCTTTCCAACGCTACAGACATTACACAGCTGGCCCGCTGGCTGCCAGACCTGGTGTTGCCAAAAGCACGCAGTTGGCTGTGCCTCACAGCCGCTTGGCAGCAGCTCATTGATTCACCGTATCACCAGCGTCAGTTTTTGGTGTTCGCGGATGGGTTGATGGACCCCTGCCGGGTTTTTTGGGAGGTCAGACGAGATCTACAAGTTTGACTGCCATGTGAGCTCGGGCCTTGAGACTTCGGCCTGCCATGAAGATGTTTGATGGGCTTTTTTGTCACTCCAGACGTGGTTTTCGCAGAACTTCGCAGAGATGGTTTTGGGGATCCGGATGCGTTTCTTCGATCTGCGACCCGTGGTGAGGTGAGGGCAATCATCCAGCAACGTGGTCACAGGAGCAAGCGGACTGGTGCTGTACGCATTTCAGCCAGGGCTGTTGGGGTCTCCCAGTGGGGTAAAGGATCGATTGTTGATCCAATCTCAGAACTCTGCAGATCCTCAATGCTTAGGCACTGCCAAGATGGAGCCCTTGTACACCTGCACGGGTGATGATTGGGAAGGTGCCTTTCTTTTTTTTTCGGGTCCAGTGGATTGGTGAACACTTTGAGGATGGTGTCGGTTGTGATCTCGTTGGTATCGTTGAGACCGAGGCTGGGAGGAAGAGAAGAAGCATTGGTGCTGCTACAAGGAGAAGGCGGCCTGTGACCCCTGGAACTGTCAGGCTGGGAGCAGAGCGAAGGAGAAGCTTCCACCGACTGTCACCGATGTTCGATTTTCAGGCGGGAGAAGCACATACCTGGTCTGGCACCAAGAAGGTTGGACGTGGGAAGCTCCCTTTGTGGTGTTGCTTCCATGTATCTTTTTTCCCCAAACAGTGTGGACACACTAGGGGTTCTTACGGTAATGGAAAAGCAGCTGATGCTTAGATCGCTGAAGCGCGCGGCCGTGTCCGGCTAATTCGTTGCTATTTATAGTACATTCATGCCTCTCAAAATCCTCGAAGTGCATTTCGACTGCGCGGGCTCGCAAAGTTTGGGTGGCCGCGGCGGGTGCTTCTAGCGACTGCGCTCTCGTTGTCGTGCCGTGCACATTTTCGTACATGGTTGTCACTTTTCGTGGCAGGTGCAAGGGAAACCTCGTGTTTTGGTGCTTCAAAGTCAATTTTTCGTGACAGGTGCAAGGTATCGGAGCTGTTTTAATTCGAAGTGCAGTTTTCGTGGCAGGCACAGCACTTTGGGCATGGTGGTGTCGAGGAGCTCAGACTTCGTGACAGGTGCAGTGAATCGTGACTTTCGGACATGTGGCTCGATTGAAGATTTCGTGGCAGGCACAGCACTCTGTGACCCTCGATGTGCAGATTTCGTTACAGGCACAGCACTTTGTGAACCTCGAAGTGCAGATTTCGTGGCAGGTACAGCACTTTGTGAACCTCGATGTGCAGATTTCGTGGCAGGCGCAGCACTTGGTGAACGTCGAAGTGCAGACTTCGTGACAGGCACAGCACTTTGTGAACCTCGAAGTGCAGATTTCGTGGCAGGCACAGCACTTGGTGAGCCTCGAAGTGCAGACTTCGTGGAAAGCACAGCACTTGGGTGCAGATTTCGTGGCAGGCATAGCACTAGATTCTCACTCTCTCACTCCCTCACTCTCACTCTCACTCACTCTCGCTCTCGCTCACTCTCACCCTCACTCTCACACTCACACTACTCACCACCATCGCCACCGTCACCACGATCCCCACCTTCATCACCACCATCACCTCCCTGGACCCCAATGCGTTTAGATCTCTAGACTTTCTGCTTATAGACCTCACACACACACTGTTTGGGA